TATATATATATATATATATATATATATATATACACTTTTTAAATTATCTAATAACATAAAAATATTTTAATAACATCAATAGATATTGAAACAAGTATGAAAGTAAGAAAAGGATAAATATATATATATCATTCTTATTCTAATTTTTAATAGAAAAAATTGGATATAAATAGATATGTAAATATTCATTGACGAGAATTTTTCGTCAAAATGAAAATTAATTCAAACAATATCTATAAAGATAAATTTATTTGTTACCATATATATCAATATATTTAAAAAAACTTTAAATTGTGTTTAAAAAATATAATTTTGATTTCTTAAAAATTTAAATTGAAGGTTTGCGAAAACTAAGCGAACATTCTAGATAATTTTTATCTTATCTCCTAATAATGCGTTACAATTCTTTTTCTCTGCCCCCACAAACACTATTGATCAACATCTCTGTGACACGTTTGCCACATTTTTAATTATTGTGCAAATTCAAAATGATAAAATAAAATTGATTGGCTCAGATATTAAATAAACCCCGTAAAACAAATACTTATCTACATAAATAGACACAGAACAAACAGTATCTTGTTGATGTAAGAACAAAAATTGGGGCAAAAAAAAGTAATGTATAAATACACCATTTTAACTTAAATATTAAAAATAAATAGAAATTTAAAGTCATATTTAACATATTTCAAAAAAGTAAAATATTATAAACAGTTTCCTAAACATAATAAAAATAAGTGTCAAGCTTCAAATTTATTAATTTTTGTAACTTGTAACTTTTTAAAATTAATATATTTTTTATAAATTTGAAAAGAATTCTATCTGACTGGTGAACGAAATGCCATTGCATTTAAGTTTTTCCCTTAAAAAAAAACCAATCCCAATTAATCAAAAACTATAAAATTTAAGGAAGGAAAAATGTATTTAATTTATTTTATAAAATAATTAGAACAGAAAATGGTTTCCCTCCAAAACGAAAGTTTACCCTTATTATATTTGCATTTGATTTTGATTTCATCCCAAATGAAGGGCATTTCAATTTGACAAGTTAGCATTCTTAGTTATCTAGCGCTCTGATCGCAGCTTTAGGGTTTTATTTCAACTCCATTGCCACCCAATTCATCCATCTATGCTGTGTTTTTCAAGAATATTCAAATTTTATTAAGTAAAGATAAACAGAGTTACCTTTCCAATGGTGGGGGTTTCTTCGCCTCACTCTCAAACTTCATCACCCCCTACCGGTAATCTTCCATTCTTATTTGATTCGTTATTCACGTTACTGCAATCATCATCTACATTATTTATTTTTTTGTTGTAAACTTTTTTACCTGTTACTTCGATTATTTTGATCATTAAAATGTCGAAGACAGCGAGTGGTTTGTTCTTTGATCGTATTGAATTTAATGTCTAGGGCGCTTCATCTGGTAATATATTATATTCCATGATCATTTATAATGTGGGTGATTTTAATTTGTTACTACGCTCCAGATTGAGTTGAAATGTTTTTACTGGATAGGATAGGCATGCAAGTAATTGACGAGTAACTGCGAAAATTGTGCTTATCATTCCGCATGTGAAAGATTATGGATTGAGTCATAGAACTTGCTTATATTGATAAGAATGTTGTTTCGCTACAAATAGGATATAAAGTTCAATTTGCAAGTGACGATGATCCATTTAGGCAAACTGATCTCTTTCAGGACACCTTGGCGCTCAATAGCCCTTTCACTGAAACGGAGTTTGAAAATCTCAATCTGGACACTGAGATTGTAGAGGATCCTGAGCCTGCAGAGGACATGGCAACAGGCAAAAGGTGCGATTATGAACAATATGTTCTTGATAGCGAGGATGAAGAAATGAATCACAGACATGTTGGCAAAGAATTTATTGAGGATGAAACTAGTCCAACAGTGAGAACTCCTTCGACACTCTTCCTGAAAAGACTGCCCAAGCCACCTCGTGAGCAAGTAGAAGCAAACGCCACCACTTCTGGGAACTCTACTGCTGGTATGTGTTTGTTATCTAGATTTTAACATTGTCTACTTTGTTTCTGTCTTTGTAATAAATTTTACTTTATAAATTATGGAGCACTTCATGATTCATGAATGATTAATTTTTCAAGAACATAATATGCTTGAAGACGACAAAAAAGCTTTAGTTGATTCGGGCAACTTTGATTACAACGACCGTTTATATCCACCTGCAACCCTAAATCACATTCAGTCACCAGAGCCTGGGAATTCAACCCAAGCTGCACTTGGCTTTGTGGATAAGTACTTGTCTTCAAATGATTTGGACTTGCTTCAAGGAGTTCATTGTGGAAAGACCGCTAGGGAGAAATCACCCAATGTCTTGAATGCAAGAGGACCACTAAATCTTGCTAAGATTAAAGCCCGAACTAGAAATGAAGAGAAAGAACCTTTCAAATGGGTTGACAGTTGCCAACATGACAACAGAGGTCGTATGTTTGGTCAAAAAATTGAAGCATCATCAAGTTTTGGAAGATACAAACAGACATATACGAGAAGAAGGAAAAAAGGTGGTCATCTTCAGAGCCAAGGAAACTGTAGTAAAAGTGATACATTTGATGAGAAGTTAGGCCGAGGACCGAGAATCGCAATTGGAAATAATAACTCTCTCAAGGAATTGAATGTTCAACCAAGTTCTATAAGAGAGAATGCTAATGTTTATTCCAGCGTAACAGATGCAGAGGACATGTCTGATATTGGTTTAGGCACTCAAATAGCTGCTGAAGCAATGAATGCCTTAGCTTTAATGCCCCCTTATGGCTTCCAGTTCAATGATACCTATCAACCAGAGAATGCATTAGACGGCTCTTTGACTGATTTGACAGAGAATGAAACTCATCTGAAAAATTCTTCAAA